GGGAGGCCCGGGGAGAGTGGGGACAAGGAAGAGCCCAGGAGGAACCTCCCTCTGGTGGGCACCAGGGGGACCACGTTGAGAGTAGCCTCCAGGACACCCCCGAGTGCAGGGACCTGGGGCCTGGCAGGCAGCAGGCGGTCCGTGCAGGTGATGGCAGGGGATACCATTCCCGTTTCCCGCCTCCCAGTCCCTGACCCAGTTCCTGGGCTGGTCCGTGTTGAACCCCGACACCTACGACAAGATGAACAAGCTGGAGAACCGCAAGGACATCGCCCAGGACATGGTCCTGTACCACGTGAGGTGTGACAAGGACGAGATCCAGGAGGTCCTGGTACGCCCCCCCCCAGGGGTCACCGGCAGTTAGGACACAGCCTGGGGCTAGACGACTGGCTGTGGGCCTGGGGTCCCCGCACGTCTTCCGTCTGACCCAGCATGAATTTCTTCTCTGAGTCTCCCTTTCCACCTCGGTGATACGGGCTGCCTGGTTGGGCGCGGTGAGCGCTCCGTCAGACCCCTGTGAGCGCCCAGAGCCTCAGAGACAGGAACACGCAGGGAGCTAGCGGCTCTGGTTGGACCATCCCAGGGCAGTGTCTGTCCTCTGTGGCCCGGCTGCGGACCACCTCCCAGGGGAACTGGCGAAGCCGTGTCCTGCCCAAGAAGGGCTTGGGCCAGAGGACCTCCTCTAGGGATGGGGAAATCAGAGACGAAGCGGTCCCAGTATAGAAGTGTTGGGGACACCTCCTGTGAGCACCCCAGTGTCCCCACAGAGCCCACTCCCTGGCTCTGGGCCCCAGAGGACACCCCTGAAGAGGGTGACCTAGACTCTTCCAGGAGAGACCCGGCACCCATCAGAGTGGGTGAAGGAGCCCAGAGGCGCTTGGAGCCGCTGACCAGGCAGGGTGGGGGGAGCTGTGACTCGGGGTCAGGGTCGGAGCAGGTGCCCGGCGTAAGCCAGAGTCCACTGCGCCCTCCTGGAGGAAGGAGGGAGTTCGCGGTGGGCCCACACCTGGTGGTGGACGCTGTGACTCTGCCCGCCTGATGGCACACCTGCGGTTCTCTGCCAGCCCACGAGACTGCGCCTGGGGAAGGAGCCGGCCAACTGCGAGGAGGAGGAGCTGGAGGGCATCCTGGTGAGGAGGCTGACTGTCCTTCAGGGCCAGGCTGGACGCTCCGACACTCCCGGGCTGGACGCTAGGGAGGGGGAGTGTGTGGGTGGAGGAGACGGGATCCTCTGGAGAGCAGGGTGTCCTTTGAGCTTGTAGAGCCATCGTGTGTGAGCATGTGTGTTGTCTGCACGTCTACTGAACCGTGTTGCGTGGGAAGTATGTGTGTCTCAGTGTCTGGAGGTCTCCTGCTGGACGCACCTCTTCAGTGACTTCATTGTCCCAGCCCCCCAGTACTCTAGTCTGGGGGCGAGGAGCGCACAGACATGGACTAAGTGTTCACCTGTGTTTGCCCTGGGAAAGACGTCACCAGGTGCCCGCAGCACCCAGTGTGCGTGTGTGCGCGTGTGTTTGTGGGTGTGCCTGCGCATGCTTGTCTGTAGTGTGTCTCACAGAGCACATCGCTGGGCCTCTGCAGACACTGGGCCACCTCACCAGTGCCAGCTGTCTTCCTGCCTCGACCAGAACCTTCCGTGTGTGGGGGCCTTGGCGAACGGGCTGTGACTAGGCGTCTGCAAGCAGAGACGAGCCTTTCTGGCAGTTAGCTGGGGTCTGTAGTGCCCAAGGTCTGTGTGTGCCTGCGTGGGTGATGGGGTTCTACATGCGATACAGTATGTCCACACCCATGTCTGCGTGTCCTTGTGTACACCCGAGTGTGTACTCGCGCACCGTGTGTGTGTGTATGTGTACCTGTTGTTGATGGTGTCTCTGTGCGTGTGCTTGTATAACCATGTGTGCGCGCTGTATCCGTGCGTGTGGGTCTGTTTCTATGTGTGTCTGAGGATCCATGTGTGTGGCCTGGGTATCCATGTGTGTCTGTGCCTGTGTGTTCATGTGTGTGCCTGTGTATCTGTGTGTGTGCCTTATGCAGTCTGTGTGTGCCTGTGTGCCCAGGTGCTGTGTTTCCATGGACACCCACCCCCCTGTGTGCCTGTGTGTCCATGGGTTCTGGTTGTTTTCCACGCTGGGAAAGTGTAATTAAAGACAAAATTTACTCCTGGCTCAGAAACCCACACCAGGCTCCCTGCCACCTTCCCCATGCCGGCTCCCAGCGCCCCTGGGTTTCTGAGACTGTATCTGTTCACGGGAATAGAAAGCCCAGTCTTTCTCCCGAGGAGCTGCTGGTGGTTTTCAACTGCTTTCCATGCGGATGGGACAGTTCTGTCCTATTCTATAGGGTCGCTGTGAGTCAGAATCGACTCGGTGCCAGGGAGGTATTGTTGAGCGATGGATCACAGGCAACCAACGAAAGAGATTGCAAAGGCACAAAGAATTCTTACTCTCGTATCGCTAACTGGTGCACGACGCGTCAGGTTCCTTTTGAGCTGAAATTGCTCAGGTTTGAGAATCTGTGTGGCCTGAGCCCCGGAGAGATACCAGCCTCCTTGCAGGACACTAGGGCGTGGTGGGGAGTGGACCTTAGTGGCTGCACTTCAGAAGAGGGGGCGCTTGCTTAGGCCCTGGGAGAAGCAACTGTGGTTTATACAACTGTGGTGACACGTTGTACCAAGAGGCTGAGAAAGAGCTGACAGGGACGGACGTCCTGAAGTCCACACAGAAACAGTAGGGAGGGGCTGGGTGGGGTGGGGCAGGGTGGGCTGGGGGCGGCTCCTCCTTCTCTCATTGCATCTGCCCTTACAGTAACCCCGTGCACTTAGGTAACTAGGCAGTGTGTGTGCTGTGATGTCATCTGTATGTGCTGCGATGTCATGTGTGTGTGCTGTAATGTCATGTGTGTGCTGCAATGTCGTGTGTGTGTGCTGCGATGCCACGTGTGTGCTAAGATGTCATGTGTGTGCTGCGAGGTCATGTGTGTGCTCTGTGTCCACCTGTGTGCTGCGATGTCATGCGTGTGTGCTGTAATGTCATGTGTGTGCTACAATGTCATGTGTGTGTGCTACGATGCCATGTGTGTGCTGAGATGTCATGTATGTGCTCTGTGTCCACCTGTGTGCTGCGATGTCATGTGTACCTGGGTTTCCCTGCATGTGACCGTGCAGATGCACTGACTGTCCCTGTGTACACAGGTGTGCCCTGTTGCTGTCTCTGTGTGCCTGGGTGCATCTTTGTGTGCCTTTTATGTACATGTCCTTAGCGTGTGATTTTGTGTGTCCTTGCCCATGTCCTTTTGTCTGCCCATGGGCGAGTCCCCCTGGCAGGGGGACTCCAGGTGGGAGATAAGTGGGGGGCTTGTGGCCTGAGCAAGCAGGGTCTGCGAGTCCCCGTCCCCCCCAGCGGAGGCCAGCATGCCTGGAGGTGCAGTGGTAACAGTGGTCGGGAGGACTGCGAGGCTGACCAGCAGCTTCCGGGTGGGGAGCCCAGGACGGCGTTGGGGGGGGCATGCGGATTCTGCCTCCTCAGCCGGCCGCCCCTCCCGCAGAGGGAAGAGCTCCCAGGGCCCAGCAAGTTCGACATCTACGAGTTCCACTTCTCGGACCTGGAGTGCACGGAGCTGGAGCTGGTCAAGTGCGGCATCCAGATGTACTACGAGCTGGGCGTGGTGCGCAAGTTCCAGATCCCCCAGG